ACCCGCGGGGGGGGGGGGGGCATGAGTACCCCGAGGTCATAGACGTGAGCCATGAAGCTGTTCTGAGTCACATAGAAGGCCCCACTGCCAGCAAGGGGTGGAGCCAGGATTTAGATTCGTTTCTGCCTGCCTCCAGCGTTCACACAGCCAGAGCAGACAATGGCTGACATCGTATCAGTTTCGATGACTCTTCCCCAAAAGGATCTTGCTCCCATGCCTGTGATCGATCCCTCTGCTATCTGTGCCCTTGGGCTGAGCATTGCCCTCTCCCTGCAGTGTGTGCTCAAATGCAAATAGCCCTGGGAGGGGCGTCACAGTCACAGAACACTTGGACACCTTCCGGGAAGGAGTTCCCCAGACTCCCATCTCTGTGGGAGAGGCCTGGGGATCTGGGGATCATCAGAAACACTGAAGGGGAGACATCCGGCACCAGATAAGATCCATGGCAACCCCACAGAGTTACGGAGCTTTCTGAGCCCCTTCTCCCCATCATCTCACCCCTCGCATGCTCCTGGGATCCTGTCACCCCTGCGGGTCCATGGTAGCCCCAAGAAATTACACTTTGCTGATACTAGAGTTTTGCCTACAATGGGCAGGGCCGTAGGGGCAATACACTGGCTTTAGATAAAGTCTTGGGCAACTCTAGCATTGAGTCTTAGCCAGCTGGGCAACCCTGGACAAGTCTCTTAACCTCCTCAGAGCCTCACTTGAAAAACAGAGCAGTCACATCCCTATCCCGCAGGGCTTTTTAAAACTGCTCTATAAATGCGAGAATATATTTCTTCAGCAATAATAACAGCCAATACCAGCATGCATTCCCTGGGTGCTTACTGTGTTCCAGGCACTGCTCTAGATCGCTGGTATGTGTGCTTTCCCTCAATGTTCACAACACCCCTGTGAAGCAGGACTTCTATATTATTCCCAATAATAAAAGTGGAAATTGGATCTCAGAGAGGTTAAGTAACTGGCCCAAGTTTGCACAGCTGGTAAGTGACAGAGCCAGGCTTTGAACACAAGCAGGCTGAGAAGCCAAGGGGAGGGGAGCATCTGCAGTGAGCTGGGCCCAGAGATACCCAAACAAATAAAACCGAAGAAGCTTGGAGTCCAGACTCAGACTTTTGCACACATCAGAATCATCTAGGGAAATTACTTAAAAGGCAGAATCCTGGGCCCTACCCACAGAGATGTGGGTTCCACAGGTTCAGGGTGGGGCTGGGAATCTGCCTTGGTAACACGCCCCCAGGATGACGTCTGCGCAGAGGGTCAGCTAACTGCACAGGGAGGACTGTGGCAGGTGTCCAGCAAACCATCAGTAAGAGTTGCTCAGTAAATGAGGGTTGTAGGCTCTAGAGGACCCTGAAGCTTCAGGTAGGAGCCCACAGTGGCACCCACCTTCCACCTCTGGCTTCCAGGTTTGCCAAGTACTACAAGATGGAGAATGGCAGTGAGTACCGCACACTCCTGAAGGCTTTTGGCATCCGCTTTGACGTGCTGGTGTATGGGAACGTGAGTCCTTGGGCCGGGGAGAGCAGGGGGAGGACAGGGGAGGAAACCCAGACCAGTCTTGGGCCCTCAAGAACCTCCTCCCGGGGGGCAAGGTCCTGCCACTGACCAGCTCTGAGAGCCTCAGTGAATCACATCTCTAGTCTCTTCACCAATGCGGTCAAGGGCTGGGGCCTCCTGGTCTACCAAGAAACCTCCACTCCACGGTCTCTCAGGCTGGGAGTCCACATTCAGCCTCAAGCCTCAGGACCTCGTGCTAGACCCTCGGCCCACCTGCCTTGGTCTTTGCTTGCAGGCTGGCAAGTTCAACATCATCCCCACCATCATCAGCTCTGTGGCAGCCTTCACCTCCGTGGGAGTGGTGAGTTCAGCCCCTCTAGGAGACCAATCAAGGTGGGGCCCCAGCTGGGGGTGGGGGCAGGTAAGCCCTGCTTCTGCCTAGAATGGAAAGCCTGACCTCTGGCCAGGTGCCTCAGTCTCCCTCACCTTCTCCCTGCTGGGTCAGTCCTTGAGTGAACGTCTCTAGTCACGGAGAGCTCGTTGGAGAGGTGGGTGATGAAGACATTCTGCAAAGCCCTCCCACAGCAGCCTCCCCATTTGCAGGAGGCGCCACCTGGTATAAATTTCCTGCTCCCCACCATGAAGGTGAGGGAGGAGACTCCAGGGTTCCACAGACCAAAGGAACAGAGCCCTGCTCCCAAGGGACTGTTACCCCCTCACCCTCTGCTTCTCCCACCAAGTCCTCTCTCTGCCTTTTTGTCTGCGGTCACTGCCAAGAGCTGGAGAGGTGGGTGATGAAGACATTCTGCAAAGCCCCTGGATGTTTTTCCAAGTGGAAACATCAGTCGGGTGTCTTTGGGGGACTCACCCCAACCCCTGGCCTGCTCTCTGCCTGAGGGCGGTCCTGCCCACTGCCCGGGCCGCTCCACGGCCACCTGAGCCTGCTGCTTCCCACCCCACTGAGCCCACTCGGCCTCTTCTCCTCCAGGGGACTGTCCTCTGTGACATCATCCTGCTCAACTTCCTCAAGGGGGCCGACCAGTACAAAGCCAAGAAGTTTGAGGAGGTGAGCTGGAGGGGAGGGCTGGGGTGGGGCACGAGAGGTAGAGGGGTAGGGCAGGGAGGGGCACTAGACCCCAGGGGGCTCTCAGTGGCTCCCCCTTTTGGGGGCTTCTTAAGGGGAGTTCATGGGACCTCAATGCAAATTGAGGGATTCAGCCAAGAATGGGCTCTGTGGGGGCTCTGTGGCTCATCACCGCCGACGCCCCCATCCACTCACTGTCCCCTCTCCATTTCTGGGGCAGGACAGCTATGGGTTAGCTCAGGGTTCTGTTGGCCCATGAGGTTCATGGAAGGACTGCTGGGGTCACACAGACTTGCTGGAACTTCCTGATGATGAGCACAATGACGCTCAGAGGATGATAATGCCAGCCCTTCTGCTTGCAGGTGGATGAGACAACGCTGAAGGTCACTGCCTCAGCCCACCCAGTGTGCCCCAGAGACCAGACCACCGAGGAGAAGCAGTCCACGGATTCGGGGGCCTACTCCATCGGCCACTAAGGCCTCTTCCAGGGCCCCAGGCTCACCCCTGGGCTCCAGGCCTCCCGAAGGGCACCCCACCCGGGCGAGGGAGGATGGAAAGGGGCGAGGCTTTCATTTCTGCTGCTCACCCCACAAAGCCATGCCAGACCCAGGTGTCTGGGCTTCCCAGTGCCCTGGCAGACAGGTAGTACCCCCTGCTAAGACCTCCATCTCCCCTTCACCCCTTGCCTTGCCCCTGTCAGCTTCCCAGGAGCCCCAGGGCAGCAGCACCTGAGTTGTCCCCCTTCTGAAGAGTAGAGAGCGTAATAGTAATAACAGGTGGCCACAAGGCACTACCAAGTGCCAGGCAGCATCACCACACATTATCTCATTTAACCCTTAGAATAATCCGATGAGGTAGATAATAGTTTCCCTGTTTTGAAGATAAACTGAGGCTCAGAGAGACTGAGTCATTTGCCCAAGGCCACACAGCCAAGAAGCAAGAGGGCTGCGATTTGAACCCAGATCTAACTCCATCACCCACGCCCACAAGAGAAGAGTGAACTCCCAGGGGTCATCCGCCCCTGCGGCTTCAGCCTTCCCCACAGTGACCAGGATTAGGTTCTGCTTAATAAAGAGTAAGCCCCGTGCTTTCAACAGGAACTCAGGCCCCATTTTAGTGGAGACCAGTGAGATAGCGATGCAGGTCTCTCTCTCTGACTTGGGTGGATCCCCAATTCAGAAGTAAAGAGGAGGCATGACTTAGCTCTGTCCCCAACCAGGGAAGGGCCATTCTGTTCTCTCTCTGGGCCCCCCACTCCAGCAGTGGAATTAGGCCACCCCTAGGGTGGGCGTGATTCCCAGACCCAGGCCCTTTTCTCAGCGGGCCGTGCTCCTTTATGACGCTGGTGAACAGGCTGCAGTGAGGCCCGATGCCCTGTGAGCAGGTGGTCAGCCAGGCCACCCCCCATGGGGTCCTAATCGGTGGTCAGTGTTCAAGTGCTAGAATCCCTCTTGTCCCACCCTCCTGTTTACAGATGAGCAGTCCGAGGCCAGAGAGGGGAAATGACTTGGGTCACACAGTTAGTGGCCAAACGAGAACCCAGGTGTCCTGGCAAGAGCAAGGAGCCAGAAAGCCTGCTGTGGGAGCATCTGGTCCCCCCACACCTCTGTCAGCCTGGCGTCCCCTCCCCTTTCTGTGCTCTCCTCCAGTGAGAGCCCCGGGAGTCTACCCAGGGCAGAGCTCAGGAGCGGGCCCAGGTCTTCGGAAGACTGAAGCATATACAATTTAGGGCATCTTTTCAAAATAATATGAAATTAGGTGTTAGAAGGGGCTCATGCATGAGGGTGGCCCTGAAGGATGAATTTCGTTAGCCCCACTGTCTGGAGGTGTCTGGAAAAGTTGGAGTGTAGGCATGACCATGTGGTCTGAGCTGCAAGGAGCTTGCCTGCAGATGGAGGGCTGGCCCCTCTACAGAAGGTGCAGGGAGATGGCGGGGTGTGGGGGGGACAGCTTTGGGAGTCATTTGGAAGGGACTGGTTTAGGGGCAGTGGGCACTTGCAAAGGCCTGACCCCAGTGATGCCCCCGTCTGGGGGAGAGGGGTCAGATTCCGTCGCAGGAGGCCCATCACGCTTTCCCCTGCTCGGCCTTCACCCCCACCTCATCCTCAGGCTGGTGGGATCACACCTCCCCGGGGGTGGCCTCGGGCATCAGGCCATGTCCAGAGATCTGACCAGCAGAGACATCAGCGGAGGCCGTGTTCTGCACCCGGGAGACCCACAGGCAGCCCTGGCAGGGGTACAGGGATGTTCCCTGCAGAGGAGACTGCAGCAACCATGTCCTCCCTTTCCTCCGGACTGGGGTGGTCCTCCCGCGGGTACAGCAGCCACTCCTGGGCCTGCCAGCAAGTGTGTGAACTCGGGGCGGCGAGCCCGCCGTGCAGGCCACATGGAGCTGAGCCACGGCTTCTGGGCGCTAGATGGACGGCTGTTGTCTGTAGTAGCGACAGCCACTGGCTGGGCCCTGCCGCATCCCCAACGCGCCAACCCTGCTGGGGTTGCCGTGGCTTGTCACTAATCCTACCGGATGGAAAAAGAAAGCTGGAATCCGTGGAAGTTTGAACTGGAGCCCATACTCACTCCTAGCAGTCCGTTGTGTCTGTAGTTACCCCGCATAAAAGCTAACATTTAGAGATAACTCACCTCTGCTGAGCAATGGGCGGGGTGCGCGACAAGGGTCGTCTACTGTGACCCTCCTTTTACAGAAGGGGGACTGAGGCTTAGTAAGGGGAAGAGACTGAGCCGGCAGAGCTGGGCCTCCAGCCCCGGGCTTTATGGCTCCAGAGTCTGCGATCTTGACTTCTGTGCCACGGCTGTCTGAGAAAAACCAGGACATCCATGGGCCCCTTCCTTTCGGTATGTGTTGGGCTAAACGAGGTGTCTAGGCTGCAGGACCAAGGAAATAGCAGAACCCAAAAGTTTCACATCACACAGTGGGTCAGACAGCCCCCTCCCCCTGCCTGGTGGCTGTCCCATCCGAGACACAGGGAGGCCAGCTCACGGGGGTAGGGAAGGGGGAACAGGAGGCTCACGGACCCCGGAAAGGCCAGGCCCCGAGGATGCTTACAGCACCTCCAAACCCACCACACAGGCCAGGCTCAGCGGCAGGCTGCAGAGCCCAACTTCACCGCAAGGAAGACTGGGAAACAGTCCTCCTGGGTCCTTGGGAGGAGGAAACGGTGCACACAGCACCCTCCGCCGCATTATCCTCCTCTTCTCCACAAGCCCCCCAGCCCACGGCCACTGACGGTTACACACACCCTTCCCTCCTGTGTTCCTTCTCACAAAACCTTGTTCTCCACAAGTTACCCATCAACCTCCCAGAGGTTTTAATAGATAACCCCCCAGGAGTTTCTTCTCCCAAGAGTATTCGCCTTTTAATCAAGGGCTATACAAGACTGAAAGGCCTTAAACAGCCAAAGATATAAATGCATAATGGTTGAAGTTGAAGCCCAGTAACTGACAGTGCTGGATATTTGAGAGATATCTTATCTCCCCTGTCCTGCCTCAAGCGAGCCTCAGTCTGGAGGGGTCTGAGCCCCGCTCCGTTCCCCTCCCTGCCTCTATCTCTTGGGTTGGCTGGCAAGATACTGGGCTACTGGTGTTGGCTACTGCTCATTCCCCAACCAGGAGGTAAGTGGAGGCTGATAAAAGCAAAAATACCGTTCCCAGAGCTCCCTATGCAGATCTTCCCTTACCGCGCATCCTCCCACCACCCCCAGCGGGATTCCACTGTGCTTTTAGAAGCAGAGAGTCAAGAATTAGCTTGTTAAAGTATGCAAGGAAGGGACCTGGGGGGAGGAAGGTCTGACCCCCAGGGAGCCCCCTGTCTCTGCCCCTGGGAAGACCAACATGCTGTGATTAGAAGCTTCCCGGCTCAGTGTCCATCCAGGGCAGATGGACAGACCCCTCTCCTGAGGAGAGGCCTCTACACTAGAGGCAGTCCCCGGGCCCAGCACTGGTGATGTTCATTGCAATGCCCAGGCCCGTCATCCTGCTGCCAGGGGCCTGCTCATGTTCACCGTCTCGTCTCCTGCTTTTTCACCACCTCCTTCCCCTGGGGCTCTCCATTCCTGACCTATTCCATTAACTCCTGCCCCTTTAGCAGCAAAGCCCATCTGAGCATACTGTTCTTTTTCTTCCTGAAACTCTGCATCCCATCACGTGCCTGGACAGATACATGTACACACAGACATGGACCTGTACATACGTATGCCACACGCGCACATATACGCACACTCACAAACGTACTGGTACACACATATACAGGCACAGCCAGATCCAGGCATGTGAGGGGGCAGAGCTATACAGACGTACACAACACCCAGGTGTATCCATAAATACACAGAGGCTCATACAGATTTATGCATATCATCTAGCTAGCTAGCTCTGTGCCTCAGTCTCTCTCCCTGCATTCCCCGCCCCCCAACAACCCAGGGCTCTCTGCCCTCTTAATACCCAGTCTCAGGTCCGAGTTTCCTGCCTATCAACCCCAGCATCCTGCCCGGAATGAAGAGCTGCAGCAGTGTTCTCCCTCCATCTGTCTAGTCGGGTCCCCGGAGTCTGAGACAGTGAGGTGAGGGGAAAGCAGCGGGGGGGGCGGGGGGGGGGAGGCAGTCGCTGGAGCTCGAGAATAGGGACGGGAGCCACACTGCTCCCTGATGCTGTAACTTTTGCCCCAAGGCCCTCCAGGTGGGAGGCAGCTCCCATCTGAGAATGTCTTCTCTCTAGGGAGGTCAGCTGGGGATAGGGGAGAGGGAGAAGGGATTGGGGTGGGGGACACACCTGGGAAAGGAGTGGAGGACACATCTCAGGAGCGGGGGACTTGGAACTCAGCCACAGGTGGCTGGGAGAATAGAAAACAGGGGCCAGTGTCTGGGAGGCCAGGAAGATCCAGGGCTAGAGGAGCCGGCTGCCCTAGAGGAGACTTCCTCCCTCCCACGTGGTTCCCGCAGGTGGGATCTCACTACGCCCCGTGCACACCCCAGTTCATGAATGAGTGACATCCCCTCCACATTGGAAAGTTGTCCCATTCCCACCCCCCGGCACCCCTTAGGGGAGCCAAAAAAGCAAGAGGGCCAATCTCGCCTGGTGCACAAATGAGGCGGTCCCCCAGCATCTGGGGAGTGGGTGGAAGTGGAGGAGGCCAGGCAGAGAAGAGCCATGGGGAGCCCACCAGCCCCCCGGGGCCCCAGCTGCTCCAGCTGTGCTTCCCGGCCCGCCCCGCGGCAGGGAGCCGTCCACAGCTCCACCGGCAGCCCTCCGATGTGCGCGATAATGAGACAGAGTCGGGAAAGTCTGGGTTTACAGCCAGGAGTAGCTGGGGGACAGCCTGGGGGTTCTGGGGGCTGCCGGGAGTGGTGAAGGGAGAGGGCTCCAAGGCAGGGGCTCCGCGCCTCGAGCCTCGGGCTTAGAAGGAGCAGACGAAGGGCAGACTCCTTTTGAATGAAGTCCACTGTCAGTGTCCCCCCAGCAGTGGAGAGCACGGTGACATCAGCTGCCGCCTGTGCGGCGTATGGCCCTCGTTCCCTCCTCCGGCTGGCCGTGGTCAGGACTGTCAGTTGTGCTCCCCACGTGTCCCTTCTAGCTAAGGTGCATCCGGGTCTTCCCGAGGGAGGAGGGAGGCAGTGTGCTAAGTGCTGCCTGTGGGCTATTGCACTTGATCCTCACAGTGACCCCAACAGGTAGATGTTATCATCATCCCCATTTCACAGATGGGGAAAGTGAGGCTTAGTGGGGGTAATAACTTGCCTGGGTCTCAGCCTGCAAGAGGCAGAGCCGGATGCGGATGGCGGCAGGCTTCCTCCGGCACATACGGTCTTAGCCATGGTGCTAGCTCCCTCACATCTGGCTTCCATGCTGTTCAAACTGGTGAATTATCCGTCAGCCAGCCCTGATTCCTACATTTGGCCTTTGTCCCTTGTCCATACCTTGCATTCACATCTGCTCCTCTCATCTGTCGCGTCAGTCACTCCTCGTGGCCCTCATATCAGAGGAAGGAAAGCAGCCCCCAGGCCCCGAGCCTAGCACTGCCAGTGAGGATGGAGCGCCTCCATCTAGCTCCCATACAGGGCACCCCATCGCCTGGTTTTGCTTTGAGGAATCCCTACATTTCAGCCCTCCTCACAGAGGACATGGCTTCTCCAGTTGGGGGAAGGTGTGAGTTTGGGGAGGTGTGTTCAGGGACCTCAAAGAGACAGTGTGTAAGAGTCTACCTTGTCCCCCCTTCCCCTTGCCCTGGTCCCCAGTTCCCCTCACCTCTGGTGCATAGGGCCACACAGTTGCCTCCCCCATTCGCAGGCTGCCCTGGGGCCCAGTACCCAAAATTCCCGCAGCTCCTATCAGTCTAATGAAATCTCCGGCACAGGAACTAAAGAAGTGATAGGCTGGGTCAGAGGGCTGAGGTCCAGGGAGACAGATCCAGGAGCCTCAGAGAAGGCTCGTTGAGTGTTCCTTCCTCCTCTCACCGCCCACCCAGACAGGAGCCAGAGTTGCTAGAGACCCATGCCTGAGGGCTTGCAGGCAATGCCAGTACCCCCAGCCATCACACAGAGCAGGCTTCTCCATCTTTCCTGTGCATACAGATCTCCTGGGGATCTTGTTAAAATGCAGGTTCTGATTCAGGAGCTCTAGGGTGGGGCCCAAGATCGGGCATTCCTAACAAGCTACCCGGTTTGCCGATACTGCTGCTCCAGGGACCACGCTTGAGAAGCAAATATAATGGCACCTATTCATCCACAATCCCAGAGCTGCCTTGAGAGAAGTGGTCTATTTTAGAGATGAAGAAACTGAGACTCCAAGGAAGTCATCCAGCTAGTAGGTCACTAAGCTGGCCATGGAACCTATCTCCTGACTCCAGTGATGTGCCGGGAAACGTTCGACAGCCAGCTCTGGGGGCCGGTGAGAACACAGAGGGCGGGAGGAACCCCAATTTACAACAATTGCCCATTTCCTTGGTGTGCGTACGTCCACGGGGGGCAGATTTCAAGCTACAGGCATGAAGTCCGTGAGCATGGAGCTGGGACAAGATGCCCAGATTCATCGGTCCTCCTGACCCAGTCCAAGCCAGCTCCAGCGCAGCCCTGCCCGCTGCTTGAGGCTGGCCTCCGCTGCTAAGATGCGGCTAGATGGCCAGGAGGGGCTCCCCGGAGGCAGTCAGGGAGAACTTCCTGTCCCCGCGGAGGTTGGTGCCTCGCTTACCCAGCCCTTGAGCATGCCTCCTATCCAGACCTGGCCTCCGTTGACCCTCTGACCGTGCACAGGACACGGTAATCTAAATTGTAGTTGTGTATGGAGACAAGGCTGTCCCTGCAGCACCTTCTGCAGACATTCGGCAGAAAGAAGAAAATGTAGGGTAGAGAACTCGCTGGTTTTTCTCAAGTCTCTGAGCCTCCAGGAGAGAGCTTCTCATCCCTTTGCAGGTCAGAAATCTGTGACCTACTTGCCCCTCTCAATCCCATCTTGTGTCCCTTCTCTGTGGTCAGAACTTTTTGCAAAAACTAATAATACTCGGAACAATCATAGCTACCATTTGCTGAGAGTTTTAGTGACCCAGGGACTATTCCAAATACTTCCATATATTATCTCATTTAATCCTCAACCACAGCCCTAACAGGTTGGTGCTGTATATCTCCATTTGACAAACGAAGACTCTGAAACCCCAAAAGGTGAGCTGACTTGCCCAGTAACACAGCCAATGACAGGCAGAGCCAGATTGAACACAGACATATCTAACACCAAAGCCTTTCGTCCAGACAGTGTTTCTCAAAGTGCAGTCCCCAGACCAACAACACCATCATTACCTGGGAATTGTTATAAATGCAAACTCTCAAGCCCCGCCCCAGATTCGCAAAGCCAGAAATCTATTTTAACAAGACCTCTAGGAGATCCTGACACACACTAGGCTTGGAGAAACACTCATCTAAAAGGGAAGAGAAGATTGAGTCCAGTCTCTTCTCCCCGCCTCCAGTCCTCAACAGTAGCCTCCCTGCCACTTACCTGAGCGTTTACAAATTTCTCGAGGTTCCGCACCAATAGGAAGCAGCAAGTCTTGCACCCAGTACTGCCCGGGTTTTAGACTGTGTCCTCTTCTTCGGGGCACTGCAAGTCCTTGTCTAGGGCAGCTGGGTCGGAATCCATGGCCTCCTCATCCTCAAATGTGTCCTGATATCCGGAAGGCTTGGTCTCCTCTCCCTCAGACTGAAATCACTTCCTGGGTCAGAGCCGAGTCTCCCTCCTGCTCCCCTGAACATTCCAGATTCTGACTCAGGTCTGCCTGTGTCTCTCGGCTGTCCAGACTGGGGCCATTATTCTCTGGGAAGAAGGGGTAACCTGCTATCAGGTCAGGGGTCTCCCTTCTCCCAGGACCACAGACAACTCTGAAGGCCCATGCAGGCCTTCTTAGAGCCACCATCTGGAGTCAATACTGGAAGGATCTCCTTAGCATCGGGTGAGGTGAGAACGCTTGGGTCATAAGCACAAATGAATGAGGAGATCCTGACTTCTGGCTGAGACCGCAGGTGTGTATTGTGGAGGTGGGAGGAAGCACCTGTGAGAAGCCCTTCATCTTCACAGGTGGGTGGGTTTTCCTGTGAAATAGCCCTGACAGAAAGTTTGGGTCACAGTTCCGAGTCCAGGAGAAATCTAATCAGAGATGGGCTGGGTCAACTGAAGGGGGGCAGCTTGGGCCCTGGCCCCATGAGGCAAAAAAAGCTGCAGGAAAGAGGAGAAAAGAGAAAGGTTGGTGAGACAGGAAGGGGAGGCTTACCCCGATGGAGAGCAGCAACCATCCCCAGCAAGAGAAGGGGCAGGAGCAGGGGGCCTATCTTTTTTTTTTTTAGTTTTTTTTTTTTAAGATTTTTATTTATTTATTGAGAGAGAGAGAATGGTAGAGAGAGCATGAGAGGGAGGAAGGTCAGAGGGAGAAGCAGACTCCCTGCTGAGCAGGGAGCCCCATGCGGGGCTCGATCCCGGCACTCCGGGATCATGACCTGAGCCGAAGGCAGTCGCTCAACCAACTGAGCCACCCAGGTGCCCAGGGGGGGCCTTTCATGTCCACTCAAGCTTGGAACAGGGACACATCTCCCCCTTCCCTCCATGTGGGCGTCCTGTGTGTCTGCACAGCTCCTGGCACATAGGGGACGAAATGCTTGTTTAACCAGTTGATTAAGGGGCAAAGTGTTGATTAGAGCACTCCTTCCTCCCCGGTGAGCAGACCCTGAACTGGAGAATTAGGAAAAGGATGTGGGATGTCAGCTCAGGTACAAAAGTCCCTTTTTCCCGAAAGCCCCATCCCTGCTTCCTGGGACGGCCCTTAGCTCAGACCCTTGCCCCTGAAGGAACAGGCCTGCTCTGAGTCAGGGCCACGTTCGTTCACACTAGGGAATGAGGGGAAAGGATGGTGGCCATAATAGTCCTGAGGACGGGCTTTGGAGGTGCATGCCGTGTTGGGTCAAGCACTCGCCTCCGAGAGTCTGAGGCCACCACTCTCAGTGCTTCCGGCTGTCGGGCCCCAGAGGCAGCTCTTATACTGGGCTTCTGGGGAAGTGGAAAGAGGCCAGGATGATTGCCCCTGGCCGGGGTGGAGAGCAGAGGAGCTGATAAGAAGAGTTTTGCTCAGTCCTCCCACCCTTGAGCTCTGCTGTCTGCTGGGACTGCAGAGACCTACCTCCCAGGGCCCCCTTCACATGTGGATACCCAGACGCCCCGATGTGCTCAAGAGGACCCCAGCTGACTACTGTCCAGGCATTATTACTGCCCCTAAAGTGCCCCAGTCTGAACAACACTCCTTAACCCCAGGAGCTGCCTTCCTCTGGCCAGTAACCCAGCTAATGAGGTGGGGAATCCCAGGGAGCTAGGAGACCATGTTGGCGGGGCAGGTAGGAGGCCCCGGGAGCCTCAGCCCTCCTGAGCGCTTATCTAGACCAGGTCCTTCACATGCTTCACATCCCTGAATCCTCCCCTTCACCTCATTCCATGAGAAGGTATGCTTATCCTTACTTCACAGTTGTGAAAAATGAGATTCAGAGAGGGAAGGCAACTTGCCAAGGTTGCACAAGAAGTAGGAGAACTGGGATTTCTAAGTCTTTTTGGCTCGAAACACTTCGGTCTCTCTCTGACTCTCCGTCTCTGTCTCTGTCCGACTCTGTCCCTCTCTCTCCTTCAACTTTCCTCCTTTCTCTCCCTCTCCGCTCCTTCTCCCTCTTTCTCATCTTTAAATATGTGAAAGCTTTTATGCTCGTTCTTTTACGATGTGGCTCTAGATCAAGTTCTCAACCTTTGTACTCTTGCTCCTTGGGGTGAAATCATTCCTTGTTGGGGGGTGGGGGCAATCCCGTGCATTGTAATAAGTTTAGCGGCATCCCTGGCCTCCATCCACCAGATGTCAGTAGCACCTCCCCCAGTTATGATGATCAAAAATGTCTCCCCACAGTCCCAAATGTCCTCTGGGTAGCTAAATTGCCCTGGCCGGGGGATCACTGATCTAGAACATGTAGAACATGCCGTTTTGTCCAATCTCAAGCCATATCTTCTGGCCAGGAGGCAGCAGTTGCAATGGAAAACGTCATGCAGAGTCGTTCAGACACTCTGGGCCAGCCTTCTCCCCACCCCCACTCCCCATCTCCCACCAGCTCTCTATCACCACCAAGGCCAGGACTAGGCGGACATGAGCAAGGCACTTGCCTCCATTGCAAAATTTAAGAGGGCACTAAAGAATTCAGTAGTCAAGAGAAACAATATTTTAATGTGATCTTTCTTAAAAATCAAGATACATGCAAAAAATCCACGATGAACAAAATAGCAAACTTTTAATCAATCAAGCTCCGGCCAAATTAACTGTAATCCAAGAAGAGGCCAGCAAGTGCTGAGCCCTGATTTTGCTGGATATCCCCTCCAAGAGCTAGAGGACTTGTTGGGGTGGGTGTCTCAACTCTGTGCCTTCCTAGCTGGGCAATGCATATTTGATTATTGGATTCCAGCCCAGCCCTCCAGTACCCAGAGCACCAGACAGGTAGCCCAGAAGGCGAAAAGGCCTGGGTCCTCCCCTCCTCTACTCTCTCAGGGGACCTACAAATGGAGAAGTATCTGAGAGCTCATTTCTGCACCCAATTGCAGGGTAACGGTCTTGCCCCTATCTCCCCAGCCCAACGGAGTTGATTCTCGGCTTCTCTTCCTGATTCAGAGACTGGGGGCTGGGCCAATTCCAGGCCCCTAAAACCCAGTCTCCAGATTTTGAACTTGAGATCTCCCTAGCGGGTGGGCTAGACCCCCTCCCCATTTTTCTAACCCATCCCGGGGCCCAGACAGGGGTATCATTTCATCAGTGTTTGGGGTGACCAGTAAAGTCAGTTAGCACCATGATAAGTTTTACATGTGTCTTTTCATTGGAAAGTCCATTTCATAGGTGAGGGAATGGCATCTCAGAGAGCTTAAGACACAGCAAGTCAGAGACAGGCCTAAACCCAGGCCTTCGAGCCTCTCATCCACCCCATGCCTCCCTTCCCTCTGCCACCTCTCATGGACCTCCCTTCTCTACAACTTGCCCCTCTCTGCATTCACCCCACTTTCTTTACACACAAACCCTGGGCTAAGACAGTGCATTAACTTTAGTGACCTCCTCACTGACCACAGTGAAGCTTGTCTGATTCCAAAATAATATTTTTGAAGGTCCACCACAGACCAAACACTATGTCTCATTAAGGCTTTTATCTCCACGATCCTATGTACTTAATTTTTACAATCATCCTGCAAATTAGGTATTGTCATCTCTAGCCTCCATATCTACTGCTCGAGCTCAGAGAGGTTAAATTACTTGCCCAAGTAGACACAACTAGTAAGAAGTGGCACGTGTGACCCTTGTCTGTCGGACTCCCACATCCTTGCTTTCTTTGATAGGCCCAACTGTGTTAGCCCCAGACATTCTGGCTAACGTGTCCAGCATTCATGAGACTCCAATCCTCTGGCTTACTGTTAGCTCTTGGGTTCATAGGGGTTTCAAACACTGCCTCTTGTCTCAAGATTCAGCCCTGCCCCACACCGTGCAGAGGGTGGGTCTCTCTGTCTTGAGGGGCAGTGTAGTGTGATGTGTCCTGGAATCAAGAGTCCAAAAGCAGCCTGTCTGTCATTCTGTTTTCTCATCCAAAAGCAGAGGCTCATAGCAGGACCTCCATCTAATGCGCCAAACTCCCAGAACAGTGCCTAACTCATGGGGATGAGAGGTGGCCCTTGTCAGGAAGCCAGGCCTGGAACTGTGACCCCAATCAACAAATGAGCACTGTGTGTTGATTGAGCTCCTGCTCTGTGCTTTGCAGAGTGTAACGAACTCCAGGGATTCCGTCCCAAAAATGCAAGTTAGCTTCAGAGAGCTTAGTTAACATTTTGTTGGAGATGAAAAAATGACACACAAACCCACACTTGGGGATGCAAGGCCAGTCCTCTTATTTCATTTTTTACTTTTATATGACTTTTCTTGTGGACATATAACATGCCTCCTATAAAGTGTCCTGGAGGGTGGGCTGCTCAGGGAATTTTCACAGAGTGAATGTACCCTTGGAGCCATGCCCAGATCAAGACCCAGAATGTTTCCAGGAACCCAAATGCCTCTTTCATGGCTCCTTGACATGAATCCCCCACAGGGGATCTCCATGGACTGGAAGGCCCACTTCTGTCACAACACACAACCCCAACAGAAGAGATCGATGAGGACCAAGACCAAGTCCACTTACCACTTAGCGTAAAGCCTGGCACCTAGTAAATGCTTAATCAATGGGAAATAGTGTTACTCTTTTTTAGGTATATTGGAATATAGGGAAGCCATGCCTTCCCACAGCAGAATATAGTCTATAAGGACAAGGAGTGAAAGTTCTACTTAAGTGGCATCCTCCCCAGCACGCAGCCCAAGGCTGAACCCGGAAGAACATCCCAGAATTCCACTGTCTTTGAAGTCAGCAGACTGTCATAGAACAGCAGTTACAATGGGCTTCAGTCTGATTTCTATCTTTCTCAACTAACTGTGCAGCCTTGAGCAAGCGGCTTCCCCAGTCTGGGCCACACTCAAAAAATTCAGGTTCTTAATTTGCCTCTGGGATTCTAGAGCCCTATGTACTTGAGGAGTCCAGGAGGAAAAGGCACTTTAGGGCATTGACACCTTATTTTCTGCTCACCTCCTTGGTGGAGTGAGGATTTGGAATGCCTTCCTTCCCCACCTCTGACTGGGACTCCCTCCTGTCCCACTGGGTTGGAGTCCTGTGTCCCAAGATGAACCCAAGGGTCAGGGAATGTGTCCTGCCTCTCCACAGTGCTCCATCCCTAGGTGACCCTGTCCTGGAAGCAGTCAGTGCTACCAGCCACAGGACCCTATGGTTGAAAGAACACACTCTGGAACAGATGGCCGAGTCACAACATTGGCCGCGTTTAGAGGTTCTGCCTTGGGCCAGTCTTTGCAAGGGCCATAACTTCTCTAAGCCTGGTTTTGTACAATGGGATCATAATTATCGATCACACAAGGTCACCTTTGCAAGGTGCCTGCCTCAGCTGGGGGTACTTCGTGGGTGTGCAATAAGCAGTAACAATTAGTAGATGTTGTTGTGCTTCTATTTTAAACAACTGTATGTTCCCGAATGGCCAGAAGCTGGGTCTTGTATTCCCAGGTCTTACAGAGAGTTGAACATGCTGTCTTCTATTGGGTTTCCCCAGAAACAGGCCCTGAGACAAGGATTTGAGAGCAAGTAGCTTATTTGGGAGGTGCAGGGACACTTGTAAGGAAGAGGAGAATTCAGATGGATGATGGAAGACAGCCAATAACATGTGTGCTGCAAAGCCAGCTGCCTCAGGGGATACCTGGAAGTTGATCCCCCTGGGAAGCCCTGGGAAACAGTACCTAATACGTGCCTTAGAATTAGTCCACTTGAAGGGCAAGGGACCAGGGCACTCAGACTCCCAGTCCACGTTGTGGACTGTTCCCAGAGACATGTTAATTTCCTGGCAGTTAAGGTGGCCACACTCTGTGGGAAGGGGAAAAGGCCCTTGGATGTGGAGATGCAAGCCCCAGACTTCGAGAGCCCACCCGGAATGAAGAAACAGGTGGGGTCCTGAGAGCTCCTGCTATTCAGGTGCCTGGAACTGGGTGTCGTGTGAAAAGAGCTACCTGAGCCCATTCTTCCATCTTCATGAAGGCCCCCACGGACCCCACCCCATGCTCCAGCCTCCTTGTTATGAGAGACCGAGGCGTGGGGAGGGGGCGGTCATTGCTGGGCAGAAAGTTCATGGGTGGGGCTAAGCAGAGAGAATCAATGACCAGAGGAAAAAGAAGTCAGTTTCAGGAAAGCAGTTTTATTGCTGGGGGCTGGAAGCAGGGGCAGCAGGCAGGGGAGGGGAGGCAGCTACCCCGGAGGGGGCGGCTCTGGACTCCTGGCTGGGTCCAGCTCAGTAGGAACAGATGAAGGGGAGGCGCCTGCGGCAGGAAGTTAGACGCCAGTGACCTCCTGTGAAGGCAGAACAGGAAGGGACCTTCAGCCTCTGGTTTCCCCGGACTCAGCCCCAACAGGGCCTCCCTCGCCATCCCAGCCCACCCCTGCCTCCATGGAGAGGGAGTCTCAAGACTCAGCAGGCCCCTCCCCTGGAGGCACAGGCCCCTCCCAGCACCTCTTCTGTGAGCTCCTCCTACCCCCCCCACCGCCCCCCACCCCGTCCCCAGGTCTTCCCATCCCTCGTCCCCACTCCCACCTCACCTCGGGTACACAGGGTCACACATCTGCCACTCCTGTGCTGGGGCTGGCCAGGAGCCCAGTATCCAAAGTTCCAGCGACTGCCATCAACCCACCGAAAGCATTTCCAGGGTCCCTAGAGGAGGCAGGAGAAGACATGGGTGGGGGCGAAGGGAGAGCAGAAAGGCAGAGCTGGAACCGTCCCACCCGGCATTTGCCCTTGATCATTGGGCCGTGATGGACACTGTCCCGGTCAACTGCAGTGCTGATCCACAGTGATCATCACCATCACATTCTATGCATGGCAGTGACACACTCATCCTTCTGGCCCGAACAAGAGATAAGCAGGAGTTGCAACCCCATCCTAGAGATGCAGAAACAGGCTCACGGTCTCACCCAAGTCATACAGACAGAAGGTCAGAAGCTGAGCAAAACTTGGCCCCAAACCTCCTCACAATGAATCCTTGGCTCCTCCCAGTGCCTAGGCAGCCTCCTGGGTATCACGCCCCAGTTGTCCGTCTGTCCCCAGTTCTTCGGAGGATCAGAGGGGAAGCACAGACAGAGCTGCAGCAAGGTGAGCCCTGCCTGAGGTCCAGGAGAGCTCCCCACTTAGAGCTGGGACCCCTCTTACCCAGCCTACGACCCTGCCTCCGATCCAGACTTGGCCCTGGTTGAGCCCTCCGACTGTGCACTGGAGCCGGCGATTGAAGTAGAAGCTGTGGATGGAGATGAGGTTGCCCCGGTAGCACCTCCGGCAAATAAACTGCAGGGCAGGGTAAAAGAGGAAGAATGGAGTGCCCTCCTCAAAGGAATTCATGTGACCTTAGTCTTGGGTCTCTAAATCTCCAAACTTCATCTCCACCCCCCATGCCCACCTCCACAGCCATTTGAAGGCTGGAGATCTGTTTCCACATGCCACTCCCCTCTGACCCCGACACCTGGGCGCGCCCCAGCCCCTGCTTACATCCCCAGGCTCTCCAGTGAGGCAAATAGTGATGCAGAGGCTGGAGACATCTGTCCCCGCCCCCACCCCAGGCCTCAGCCTCAGCCCCAGACCACTCACCTGAGCTGGTAAAAATCTCCTGAGGCTCCTCACTAGGAGGAAGCGGGGACAGTTCTTGCACCCAGGGCTGTTCTCCAGTTTCACTGTGTCCTCTTCTTTAGGGCACTGAAAGTCCTTGTCCTCCTCATCCAGGGCTGAGGCAGACTCTACAGCCCCCTCCTCCTCAGGGGCATTTTCCCTTCCCGAGTACCCCTCCTCCTCTTCCTCCAGCAGCGCCAGCTCCCCCGGTGGGGCCTCCTTTGCCTCATTTTCTGAAATCTCCCCATCCTGAGGCACAGGCTCATCTCCTAAGAAGTTCTCAGAGTTAGACGTTACAGTCCCTGGCAGAGAGAAATTCCAAGCGTCCCTTCTTCACATCTACCCCTGTGTCTCCCCAGCACCATGGACAGCGTCCACCTTGACCTGGGCAACCGAGAGGTTCTTCAAAAAATTAAAATAGAGCTACTATTGCACTACTCGGTATTTACCCCAAAGACACAGATGTAGTGAAAAGAAGGGCCATATGCACCCCAATGTTCATGTCAGTAATAATAGAAGTCCACAATAGCCAAACTGTAGAAAGAGCTGACATGTCCTTCAACAGATGAATGGGTAAAGAAGATGTGGTCCATATATACAATGGAATATTATTCAGCCATCAGAAAGGATGAATACCCAACTTTTACATCAACATGGATGGGACTGGAGGAGATTATGCTAAGTGAATTAAGTCAAGCAGAGAAAGTCAATTATCATATGGTTTCACTTACTTGTGGAACATAAGGAATAACGTGGAGGACATTAGGAGAAGGAAGGGAAAAATGAAGGGGAAGAAATCGGAGGGGGAAATGAACCATGAGAGACTTTGGACTCGAGGAAACAAACTGAGGGTTCTAGAGGGGAGGGGGGTGGGGGACGGGTTAGCCCGGTGATGGGTATTAAGGAGGGCAGGTACCGCATGGAGCACTGGGTGCTATATGCAAACAATGAGTCATGGAACACTACATCAAAAACTAGTGTACTGTATGGGGACTAACATAACGAAATAAAAAAAATGTGGGCTCTATCTCAGCAAAAAGATATTGTTTAGACACTGGGTAAATAAAGATTGTTAATGACAAAACAAAAGAGAGGAACCTGGAACAGAGCCAACAGGAGGAGACCCCCAACCTCCCATAAGAGCCCATGTTGTTAAGAGCAAGGACTTAGATTCAGGCAGCTGTGGGTTTGGGTACTGGTTCCATCACCTATTAGCTTTATTTTTTTGTTTGTGATATGGGTACACAATAGTACATACCTCATGGGGATGCTATGATGTTTAAAAGAGATAACGCATAGGAAACGCTTAGCATGACACACTCAGTGAGCTCAAAGTAGAAGGAAGCTATTATTATATTCATCATTGGTATTATGCAGAAAGGACAAAATCGAGAATGTCACAGTGGAACAGAGACCGCAGACACAGTTGCCCTGGGGAGTCCCTTCAACTCCTGGTTCTAGAGCCTCTCTGCTCCTCTGAGTGTGCAAAGATCCTGATGTAGGAGAGGGCCACCGAAGGAGGCGGCTCTGTAGCTCCGACCCCATCTACTCTAGAAAGGAGCAAAGTGAAGAAAGAGAGACTGAAGGCCAAGGAGACTTACCCAGATGGAGAGTTGAAACTGCCCCAAAGAGAAGAGCCAGAAGTAGGGGGACTTTCATCTTGGCTTTTGTTCTGCAATGAAGAACCCAGTTAGTCACACACACACACACGCACACACACACGCACAACCCTTGGGAATGGGGTGGAAAAAGAGAAGGCATGACTAGAAGTCCCTGAAACTCCAGGATGCTAGGAACCTGTCTGAATGGAGTGAGGCCAGACCACGACAGGTAGAGCTTTCCTGTGGATCTGCATGTGAAGAAGGGAATATTACCTTTATTGGTTTGTACTGAACGGGCCCCTCAGAGTCTATGAAATAAGAGAGAACCAAGAACCAATGATTGTCGGCCTTCCCAGCAACGCATGGCGCTTAGATAGTGCTTCCCCGCCTCAAAGCTCTGAAAGCCACACACACTCCCATGTCCTCCACGCTCTTCCCTCCCCGGCCAAGGAGAGCTGTCATGTGCCTCAGAAGGAGTGTGAAAGGCAGGGATGGGAAGAGAAGTCTTGCCCCTGCCAACTCCTGCAAGCCGCTACACACAGTCCCAGCCAGCCCCGCAGAACTTCTCCGCCCGGGCTGGGCGCCTCCCCGGAGGGTGAACACATACCCCAAACCAGCTCCACCATGACAGGGAGAGCACTCACTTGCCCAGAGGTCTTCCTGGCTCCTGAGGAGTTTACAAAGCTCAGACTCTCCTTCTCTCCATCCCTCAGTGACATTTTATAGAGGGGTCTTGGAGGAAGTTCCCCAGAGAAAGGAGGGTTTCCCCAGCCTGAAGGAAATGGGAGGGCTGATAAGAAGTTTCCTCACTTCCCTGGAGAGCCCACTCATCTGCTTCCAGATTCTCTTCTGCGACCCCTTTTAGGAGCCTGGGGGCCGTTCTGGGCCTGCCTTGAACCGGTGGTTCTTATCCTGGGCTGCACTTCAGAATCTCCCAGGGAGCTTTTCCAGAATACACAGTTCTTCTGCTTCACTAATGGGAACGTGAACTGCCACAGGCATTTGGGAAATAAATCTGTCAATATCTATTAAGATTAAAGGTGTGCATGTCACTTGCTCAATTTCACTCTTCGGAGACTATCCTTTGGAAATAAAAGCACCTATAAGTAAGAACATTTTTACAAAGTTGCGTATTGCTTTCCCGTTTGTAAAAACAAAAGTCTCCATGAAAACAAGGAGCTGACTCTCCCCTGGACGGATAGGTGGTGAACAGAGGGGAGGGAAACAGGGCATTCCGGGCATGAGCAAAGGTGTAGTGAGGGTGGAATTACCATGGCATCAGCAAAGGACAGTGTCCTTTCTTGCACAACTAAAGTTAACAAAGTACACATTGGAAAGAGGAGGGGAAAACAGAGTACATCCCATCTTTTTTTTTTTTTTAAGGTTTATTTTAGAGAGAGAGAGAGAGAGAGCAGAGGGAGGGACAGAAGGAGAGGGAAGGAGAGGGAGGGAAGTAGACTCCCCGCTGAACACGGAGCCTGACATGGGGCCTGATCCCATGACCCAGAGATCACGACTGGAGCCAAAATCAAGAGCTGGTCGCTCAAACAACTGAGCCTCCCAGGCGCCCTGAGGACATCCCATCTTGAGCCAAAGAATGGAGATATCCTTCCCCGCCGTGTCCACTGACTTAAGGAGACAGAATGCAGGAACCAAGGACATGACTCAAAAACAGCGAAGACAAGGACCTTTGAGCTGTATTCAGCCTCACCCCCGTCCCCAGGCCCCCCTGCAGGGCCACTTTGCCTGTTGGACAAAGCTACTACAGTGAGACAATGACAGGGCAGGGCCAATTCTCGGAGGCCAGTTGCTCAGGCTCCCCAACCTGAGGGAAGTCTCTCCTTTAAGCCATACAATCCGGGGTCTGAGATCCACAGCTTAGTGGCCCTAGAAATTCCATTCCGTCAACATCCACTGGGGGGTTAGAGCAGCGGCTGAGAGCGTGGGTTCGGGAGTCAGACAGTCCAAGTCTGAATCTAGGGTCTATCACTTCATAGCTGTGTGACCCTGGACATGTTCCTTAACCTCTCTGTACCTCATTATCATTGTTGATAAAGTGGGGACAACTATCCCGACCTCACTGGGTCGTCAGAAGGAACAAACGAGACAGTGTGTGGGTGGCGGACATGCTGTGAGCCGCCCAGCCCCCTCACTGCCTTCTGGTTTCTGGAATCCCACTTCCTGTGAATCTTGGTGGGGGGTAGGCCTCTTGTTCTTGAAAAGAAAGTGCCATATAGATTCCCAGCCTCCCTTGCAGCACAGGCATATGGCTAGGGCTCTATCGAATGGGAGCATCCAGTCAAGACTTGGCATCTGGAGCTCGTGACCAAGAAGTGGGGGCCAAGAAGACCTGTCTCTGGTGGTGCAAGCGTGTAGACCCAGTTCCTGGGTGGCAGTGTCTGCAGTGCTGGGGGGTGGTCCAGGGTCCAGGCCCTACACTGCCAGCCACAGGGTCTGAATCACAGCAGCAGCTGGGGCCTCCCCACACCATCCTACGGCCTGGTTTTGGCCCCTGGTTCTCTTCCTGCAATTTTATTGAACTACCTTGTTTCCTTTTAATAAATTCATTTTCCTGCTCAGATCCGCTGGGGGAGAGTTTTGTCTGCCTGCCACAGAGCCCTGACTGAGGCAGCATTTAGCACAAGAACTAGCATGTAGTCACTGCTCAGTAAATGACAGCTACTTGTGTTCATAGGTCTAGAAGTGATCAACCAACGTCTTTGGGACTGACCCACATTAATCAAATTCTCAAGAGACTGATGTCTACATCTGGTGCCAGTGACATAAATTTAGGTTGACTTGAACCCACATGGGGCCCACGTAGGGCCTTCTGACCCGCACATTCCCTTCCTGCCTCACAAGTTACAAATTCTGCTAAATTTGTGTCAATTTGTCATACAGCATAGAAGAGTAATAAGATGGTGTGGCACGTCAAGACCCGGACCTTCCCAGGATGAAAGTTATGGTTAGTGCAGTTGGCGGAGGGGATTGGCACAGGGCTTCCCAAAGGAATGGGCTTGAGGAGTTCCTGGAAAAGAATCCAGGGTCAGTAGGTCAGGAAATACGGGCAGAGAAAGAGAGGTTCAATCCAGGCCAGAGGTCCCCCCACCCTCTCCCCCTTAGACCATAACAGGCTGGGAAGTCCCTTCTAGTTCCAAGCTCTGCCCCCACAGTGGTGATGTCCTCCGGGAGTTGGACGCCTGGGGCTGACCAACTGCCTGGTAACTGGGCTTGGCCAACACCCCTGTGGGGCAGATAGATAAGAGGTGGCGCAAGGCCTAACATCATCCCAGGGCTGAGCCGCCGGGAGATAAGGACCAGGGCCGTAGCTCTGAGAAATCAGCCTCAACAGCAGCTGCTCTGACAATTCCCTCTTTGGACACCCCGGGGATGGACATTGACCAAGGCTGCTGGAGCCCAAAGGGCCCCAGTCCAGTCTCCACGTCTCAGCCATGGAGAGTGCCCCAGACTGGACTCAGATGTCCCCATTCCCAGAGTCACTGCTCTCCCTGCTCCCACTGAGAGACTTTGCCCTCCATCGCCTCCTGGCACCTCCTCTCCCAGACTGAGTACTCGCCACGGGCTGGGCAACATTAAGTCTTTGCAGTCCGTGGCTCCCCCACCCCACTCGCCACCCTTTAGTATCTCCCCAGTCCACCCACTTCTCTCCATGTCCGCTGCCGCCTCCCTAGCCCAGGCCGCCATGCTTGATGACATACATCAGAGCCCGTCGTCGCCACGCTCCCCGTTCAGTGTCTTCCTTCTGCACTAACGACTGATCCAAACTCATGCCCACTGCCTGCAAGTGGTAGTCTGGCTCTTGTCTACTTGCCCGACCTCAGTGGTGTAAGTGATCCTTCTCAGGCTGGTTTCTGCTTCATGGGCCAAGCTGAGCCTTCATACTGGCTGCTTCTGTCTATCAGGTCTCAGCTCAAAGGTCATCTCATCAGAGAAACTTTCTCGAGAACTCTTTCTAAAGAAACCACCCCCCATCCCACTCTCACACCAAGTTACTTTGTTCCATATCATTCCATGTATTTCCATCTGGAGCATTTACCAAAATCACACGATCTTGCTTATATATTGGTTTCTTGACGATGGTCTGTCTCCCCCAGGAAGAAGTAAGTTCCATGAGAACAGAGACTTTGTCTTTCTCATTTACTGCCTAGAACTCTACCCAGATCATAGAAGGAGTTTTCCAATTATACGTTGCATTAATTAATCAACTTGAACTTTACACCTGGAGAAAGTCCAGCTGAGTTTCGCTCCGAGTATAAACCCATTAATGTTCTGAGCTCTACCTGCCATGGGCACAACCCTGAGCCAGCCTCTGTGTTCTGTGGCATTCATGTATTTATTGGTTCATTCACTCACTTGCTCATTCATTCATTCATCCATTCACCAAATACTCAGAGGTAGTCTCTAGCTTAATGTAGCTAAGACAGCTAGACAAACAGAATGAACCTATTTGTCAGTAAAACAAGGCACTGTGTTGAGTGGACACTTAGTGGACACAAACTGGAAGATACAAATTTTCAGTGCTACCAGAGGGCAGGCAGGGAGGGCCTCCTGGAAGAGGTGTTGCTTCGAGTGGGCTCTGATGGACTAATGGACAGGATAGAAGAGGCTGAGGAGGAGTGGGAGGCCCTTCTGGAGGCCAGCCCATGGCCTGGAACTGCTGGAATTTGAGCCAGGATATGAATGATTTGGTGTTTCCTACAGGTTAAGTCGAACCATGAAGGGCTTCTCTGCTTTGCCCCAAAGCCAAGCTCCTCCGACAAGCAGTGTAGACTTGGAGGCCAGTTCCTCAACCCCCTCTTACACCTCTACACCACAGTTATCTGGCTTCTGCCCACTCATTGCTCCACAGAAACTACTTTTGCCACAGTCCCCACTGACCACCCAACTGCCAAACTCAAAGACCTTCTTCAGTTCTTACCCTACTTGACCTCTGTACTACATGACGCCTCTTCACTTCCTCCTTCTTAAAAACTGCCTTAGCAACATTCCTTCCCAGTTTCTGCTGGTGGCCTCCTCTTCCTCTTCTAGAAAGTTAAATATTGGCAATCACCTGGTTTCCTGGTGCCGTCTTTTCTAATTTTACACACTTTCTATGGGTTATCTCATCTACGCCCCCATTTCAAGCTACCAAATATGTACCGATCACTCCAACCCCAGCCCCGCTCCTCGCCAGGTCTGGCCATCACCACAGACTCACATATGTGGCCACCCAGTAAGTTCCCAACTTGAATGTCTCACAAGCATTGTGAATGCAACACATGCCAGACTGAATTCACCCCTACACAAACACACACCCACGTACGCACGCACACACCCAAACCCGCTCCTCTCCTGTGGTCACTTTCTCAGGAGAAACCATCCCCTTGTACGCAGACCCCCACACCAGGACCCTGGGGCCATCTCTTTCTTTGCGGCATCTCGTCAACCCCCAGCGCCTCCCCTCTGCTGCTCTCCCAATCCACTGCTGACCATCTTTCACCTGGATCATTTCAATGGCTCCAAATTACTTTCCTGCCCCAGCCTTACCACCTCTCCCTGCCCCGGATACTTTGTCCAGAGGCTGCCAAAGTGAGCTGTCTAAAGCTCTGCTCTTTCCCTGTCATGCGTGATCTCTCTGGCGTCATGCTCTTGCATCTAAGAATGCCCTTTCCTCCCTAACCCCTGTTCCACCCTTC